ACTGGGAGCTCTTACCTAACCTGAAGTGTCTCCTTGTGTCGCTTTCAGGAGTTGGGGCCCTCACCCAGGACACACTATGGTGCTTCAGCCAAGTGAAAGGCACTATCGAGATTGGAGCCACAGAAGGTAGGAGAAAGCTCCCCTACCCTTTTCCTGGCCTCCTTGGGGGTTTGTGATGGGTCCAGATCGGAAAATGTTCATCTTTGCCTCCACGAAGTAAGTCTCTGCACATCCCAGAATAGCATTCTGAGCTGGAAATGGATTTAATAATTTCTTTCTACCCCTTTTTTCTGTTGAAGCTTATTTTATTCCCACCAATGAGGCAGTACTGAAATGAACTTGCAGGGAAATAGGTTTGCAGAGAGAGGCTAAACGAGGCAAGTGTTGTTTCAGGATGGTCTGTCAGCTCTGTAGAATTCTGAGTCCCAACACTTCAAGACGGTCAGACATTAATCTCTTCCTTCCATTCTATGCTGAAGATCACTTGCTATTACTCATGAAGCACACGGGGAGAAGGAAGAATTCAAGTCTGGTCATATAAATGATGGGTACATTGAGTCCCAATATCAGCATATAATTGCCTTTCTGTCTCTCAAGAGATTTTCCTATTCCAGGACCCTTTACCTGGGGTAATGCGTTCCTTTTCCTCCTCCTGAATAACTTCTTTTTAATTCTCCTCATTTCCTTTTCTTATAAGCCTGAGCTTGGAGACCTCCACGACTCTCTCAAATGATGTCTACATTTCAAAATAGCTGAATGATAGGCAATTGGAAGGAACTAGAATAGCACTTCGGGGTGTTTTAAATCAAGGTTTAGCTGTTCTAGCAGAGCGCAGTAGGGTTGTCTGAACAGATTGTACTGCATTGGTGGTACGTATGGATACGGCTGTGGTATAACACAGATCTAAAACTAATTTTAGTGAGTGAGGAAATGCACAGTTGACAGGGTTGAACTTTAATATGGAAACTAACATGCATAAATGCATGTGGACTTCTGGATCATTCTATAGCATTTTAATTCTGAGTAAAAAATAATAGAGTAAAAATTATTCTGAGTAATTTAGAGGAAGTATTTAATCTGCAACCTTGCTGTTGCAGATCATTTTTAGAAACTCAATATAGTGGTGGGTACCCCAAAACCAAGTGATTTATGTTCAAAGAGAGGGAAAAATCATGCTAAAATAAATTAATGACTAAATCTATAAAATTATACTTTTGTATAGCATCTTCCATTTTTCGGATGTACTGTCAAGTGGAGCTTTACAAATGATCCTCATAAAGCTCCTGTGAAGCAGATAGAGCAGGCTTTCTTGAGCCTGTTTTCTTGGGCCTGTTTTACGCCTATCTAATCAAAAATATTTTTGAGTGTCTTCTATATGGCAGCACTATCCTAGGCATTAGAGATAAAAAAGGGAAGGGGAAAAAAAATGCCTTACTCCCTAACCTCATGAATCTTAAGAAAACTGAAGCTCAAGTTAGTTGTTTTAAATCTTCACCATGATTCAAATTCACTTGTGATTTTTAAAAAATGGAGACTTCCAGGTCCCCCAAGGGCTACTGAGGTAGAGATTCGAAGACCAGGGTGATAGAATGTCTTTTAATGAGCTCACCCAGAAGATTCTGATGTAGTGGACTAGCTTTGGGGACCATCAGGCTAGGTGACTTGTTTCAGGTTATCCATTATTCTCAGACTCTGGACTTAAATCTTGTCTTTGTGACTGGCTCCCTACCGATTACAAGGATTCTAAGTGTCTCCTCAAGCTATAGCTCTTACCAGTTGAGGAGTTACTATGTGGTGAGTACTCTTTACTAAGTGCTTAAGACAACAAGATAATGTAGGTGCAGCATTTACCACAGTGCTTGACACTTTGTAAGTTCTCAATGTTTGCAAGCTATTATTATAAATAACATTGTAATAGACATTCATTCTAATTTAATCCTCACAAAAACCTTATGAGAGGTGGGTATACTTATTCCCAGTTTACCTATGAGGATAGTGAAGCTAAACAAACAAACAGAAGACTAAGTTCTTTGCCAGGTTGGACAATAACACACTGCCACTCGCATCTAAGTTCCCTGGCCAACACATGTTTGATGTCATTTAGCTTGCTCTAATACTGCCTCAATGACAGTTGAACATTTGTTGAGTGAATTAATGAATGACTTTCACTTGATAAAAATCAAGGTTCTTGAAAATCAGGTTCCTTTTTTTTTCTAATTGGCCTGCTCTACCCATGTTGGTTTTCTATAGCGATCAAAATCGATAAAAATTATTCAACTTTCAACTTTCCCTTCCACTTTACTTACTCCTACTAATGACTTTTCCATTACATTTCTTCCACTTTCTGGTTGATGAGCTTGGCCAAGTCACTTACTGTCTCTGTGTTTAAGTTTATGCAAAATGGAGATGATAATATAGGTGTCCATTAGGATGGCTGTAAGGGTTAGGTGAATATAATTATATATATATATAGAGATTGTTATAAAATGCTCAAATTGCATTACCTGCTATTATTGTATTATAAAGGCAAGGCTGAGACCAGGTGAAGTAACAAAAATAAATATTTTAATGCAATATTTTTAAAAAAACAAAATTAAAATGAAGAATCTATGATGAATGAAATATCAAACTGTTAAATAAAGACAGAATCAATATTACTGACTTATTGTTTCCTTTGCTTCAGGTTCCAATATGGCTCAGCATGGCATTGTTACTCTTAATTTAATTAACTGTGGATCTCGGGTATCAGCTAGTAGCCTGGAATTTTTCACATTCCAAATTATTCGTATAGCATATTAGATGAATGATACTACAAGTCCAACAATAAACATTTAGTGAGCACTTATCAGATCCAAGGCACTGCCCCAGAGAGTGAAAAGGTTATAGAGATAAATAAAATATAGTCAGAAATGCACCATTTAATGGGAGACAGGAATTGGTACATAAAAATAAGGCATTATGTCAAGAAATATAATATAAGGCAAGGTGAGCTAAAAAAACAAGTGCTTTGATTAAAGACTAAAGTGCTTTGAGTAAAAAAGAAATAGAAATCTCATATATTTGGGAGGATGAAGATAGATTTAATGGGAAGAAGGCATGTAAAGTAGGACTTAAATGACTTTTAAACTATAACATTTATTCTTTTCCTTTTCAGATTACTAGAACAGTATGTTCTCAGTGTAGAAAATTTTAAATATAACTAAGAAAAAATCAAACAATAAATTTTCTTCATAATCCCAAAACCCACAGATCAACACTGGTAAAAGTTTGTGGTATATTTTTCTAACCTCTTGACTTTGTGTATAGTCCTCACTCAATTTAGACAACAAATAAATACTATGTGTCAGATACTGTGAAAGGGATCGGTTAGTTTGTAATGAACAAAATCAACACGATTTGTTTTTTTTTTTTTACCAAAATGGAGTCACCATGGAAATACGATTTTGTAAATAGCTATTTTCATTTAACAATATATAGTGATCATCTTTCATTTTATGAACAGTAGGTGTGCCCTAATTTATTTACTCAAATTTTCAAGATTTATAACAACACCATTATGAACTTTCCCTACTAGCTACTCTGCATTTATCCAGGAAAAGCTATGTGGTAGAGTGATTAAGAGTATATGTTTTACAATAAAATACCTGATTCAAAATTTGGCCTCACTGATTGTTGGCACAGAGCAAGTTCCCTCAAATTTTCATAATTCCTTTTCCTGATGTGTAAAAGTGGAATAATAAAATCTACTTTGAAGAATTGCTGTAGAATATATTTAGACAGATATTTTAAACAACACAGCACATAGAAAATGTTCAATAATTATGATTAGTTACTATGATCATATCATTGAGATACATTCTCAAAAATAGAACTCCTTGGTTTAGTTTATGTAGGTATATTTTGAGATTTTTTAAAAATTTAAAGTATCAATGGCCCTTTAAAGAAACTAATGACTTACATATCTACTATCAATATATAACAGTGCCCATTTCCCAAACTCTCCGATTTAAAGCATTTAAAAACTAGATTTATAGTATCCATTAATTAACACTTTTTTCCTTCTTTTTAAAATTGAGATATAATTGACACATAACATGGTGTGAATTTAAGGTGTACAACATGTCGATTTGATACATTTATATAGTTGACACTTCTTTGACTACTCAAGTTCTCAGAAGATTTCAGGAAGCAGAAATTATGAGACATGAAGAGGCAGAAGTTGAAGTGGTGGGAATAGCATGTGCAAATGTTTGTAGGTTCAGAATAAGGAAGAATTCCATTTTGTTGGGCATAGGGTACCTGCAGAATCAAAGTGAAAGACTAAACTAGAAAGGTAGGTGGGACTCAGGTTGTGAGGTGCTTGAATGACAGTAAATGACACTCTACATCCTGCGCCATTTGATGCCAAATGATATTGCTGGGGACTGAAAAAATTATTGCTGTGCCATAAGACCTAATTGAAGTCACATCAGCTCATTTCAGACAATGGCAATGAAGTTGATTCGTTAGTAAAGTAGGAATATCACTCAAATTCATTAATTCATTCACTCAAATATTCAATAAATGCCAAATGCCTGCTGTGTGCCAGGTGAATAAGACATATGAAGTATAAGTAAAAAATTTATTTTATAATAAGAGAGTTGGCCAATAAAAATGGTTTAAAAATAGATCATTTGAGGTTTTGATGAACACTGAAAGACGTAAACAGGGTGGCATGAGAGAGTTCTTGGAGGAGGTCACTTCAGTCTGGGGCACCAGGGAAGGCCTCTCTGCAGAGGTGGCACCTGAGCCAAGCCCTGGAGGATGGGAATGTGCCAGCATCAAAGAACCATGACTTGGTCACTGCAGGTAGTATTAAAACAAGCACATGTACAGGCCCAGCATCAAGAAGAAAGGTGACGTTTTCCAAGCACATACAAGAGCCTAGTGTGGCTGCAGTTGGGTGAGACAGAGCTGTGTGGTCTGAAAGGAGAAGGTGAGGTAGGAAAGGGCTAGACCAGGTGAGACCTTTTAGGTCACCTTACAGAGTCTGGGTTTTATTTTGAGACTAGGGGGACTCCTTGCCATGGAAGGAGTTTAAAGATTCAATTTATCGTGTTAAAATAAATTCTTATTGGAATTCTGTTGAGAGACAATGTGGCTTTATTAGAGTGGAGAAGTTGCCAACGATGAGAAGAGAACAGGCTCCTGACATATTTTGGAGGTAATAGACTGGATTTTAGGGGAGAGGTAAAGTAGGGAATTAAGATAACTCCCAAGTTTTGGCCTTGAGCAAATGTGTGGTTTGTGGGCACCAATTATCGAGACTGAGAAACCTGGAAAAGAAACAGATTTGGAGATGTAGGGGAGGAAAGACATTCCCTCTACCCTCCAAGGTTCAACAGCTGCGTCTATGAAATAAACTGACAACAGGCAGATTAACAGGGGAATGGTGTACAAATTTGTTAATTTTTAATATTACGTGCACAGATACCACAGGAAAGAGAATGTGAGTGCTCAAAGAGACGGTGAGATTTGAAAGCTATACCATCTTAATAGCGGAAGGGGAATAGGGATGTAGGCCTCCTAGAGGAAAGGAAATGATTTTTAGGAAAGATGAATGAGCCCTTGGAAGAACAGATGGGAGGTATGACAGTTTGTGACAAAGTTTGCCTGTGGTAAGAGTCAATCTTCCCTGGTTGATGAAACTCCCAGGGAGGGGATTGATGACAATTGAGTGCCTTTTGGAGGATCTCTCTTTAGGCAAATATGGGGAATTCAGAGAAAACCCCTCCCTACATTTGCAGTTTTTCAAGTTCTTCAGCTCAAAATAATCAATATACCAAAACAGCATTTTTTGGGCTGTCATGTCCCGAACTCCTTCTGGGAGAAAAATCATAAGCTTCATTTTGAGCATATTAAGTGTGAAATGGTTATAAGATACTCAGGTGTAGATACCAAGAAGGAATTTATATATGCAAGCGTGGCTCTTCTTAGAGACAATGTGAGATGGAGATAGAAACTAGGGAGGCATCTGCACGTAGATGGTATTTGGAACCATGGGACTGGCTGGGATCACATATGTCATGCCAGCAACAAACAATCAACAAACAACTTGTTGATGGACTGAAGCTTTCAGTACTTTGCTGGTGGTTAGGATACCACCTAAGCATTGTTCACTTAGTTTAGTTCTTGGAAGACACTTACACGCTGAAAGGTTCACCGTGTGCAATTCTTGTATTTGACTTGTCTAGCATGCACGTTCATATAATATATGATTTCATCTCGTGGAGTTTTACACTATGTCATCACAGGGGCTCTTTACATGCTGGAAATTGGCTACTCTGGACATCAGACAATTTCTTCAGATTTGGTGTATGATTCTGTACAAGGGAAGGAGTCAGAATTATCCGATGGGATTTTAGGGTTTTTTCCCCCAACTACAGAATATAGCCATTTCCTTTCTGATACTACAATTCTAGGGTATTTTGTTTGTTCCTCCTTCTACAGTTCTTCAACACAGTATATCAGTATCAATATAGGTCATTTCTTCTTATTCATGGGAAATAACTGATATTTATTCTGTCTTGCTACATGGGCATAAGCTTCTTTCCTTCCCCTCGCTCTGAAAAGATGACTCATGTAGAGGGAAGAATGAGGCATTCTATTGATTCAGTTTTCTAATGAGAGAAACATATCAATTTGGCTGCTGATGTGACGTGCATTCTGTACACCATAAACTAGAAGCTGATGATTGCGAGTGACAGCCTAGCAAAGAGAGGTCCTTTACCTAAAATGTTTGCAAGAATGTCTGATCTTTGCATTGATGTTTGAGAAACTAGGGGATAGTAGGAATGACTTTTTTTTTTTTAAGTGAGGAAGATTGGCCCTGAGCTAACACCTGTTGCCAATCTTCCTCTTTTTGCTTGAGGAGGATTCACCCTGAGCTAACATCCATGCCAATCTTCCTCTATTTTGTATGTGGGACACTGCCACAGCTTGGCTTGATGAGCGGTGCATAGGTCTGTGCCCGGGATCCAACCCCACCAACCCCTGGCCGCCGAAGTGGAACACGCAAACTTAACCACTATGCACCATGCAGAGGCCCCAGGAATAATTTTTTTGAGAAACTTGGGAATAGTAGGAATGATTTTTTAGCTTCCCTTTGTGATTATGACTTTTTGCTGTCACCAAAAAAGAAAAATATTGATTGGGTTGTCTCAAAGCAGTGTAGACTGAGACCTCATTTTATAGAAAGTCAGTGATTGACAAACTACCTTTATTAGATGTTTATGCACCATAAACGGCAATGGGTGATTGTAACGTCACCCCACAGATCTTAGCCTAAATGATATAAAATGGAACCTTGGGGTCGGCCGGGTGGTGCAGCAGTTAAGTGTATGTGCTCCGTTGTGGCGGCCTGGGTTTTGCAGGTTCGGATCCCCGGCACGCACTGACGCACTGCTTGTCAAGCCATGCTGTGATGGTGTCCCATATAAAGTAGAGGAAGATGGGTACAGATGTTAGCCCAGGGCCAATCTTCCACAGCAAAAAAGAGGAGGATTGGCATCAGATGTTAGCTCAGGGCTGATCTTCCTCACACAAAATATGATGATAATAATAAAATAAAATGGAGCCTTGATTGCCTCACTCTTCCTACTCCAGGATATAGGGTACAGTGATGGCTGTGATACGAACTCCTGTTTCAGGAAGAAGAGTTTTGGACAGAAGCTTTTGGATCAACAGAATCAAGCCACCTACATAGGATTATTAATCAGGCACTAATTTGAAGTCAGGTTATCTCTAACTTTAAACTGAGTTCAGCTACCCAGTTAGTGACCCTACACAGGTCACTGAATGATTTTCAAACTTATTATGCATACGAATCACTTGAGGAGGATGTTAAAATGCATATCCCTCACTCCTACCCCTAGAGATTCTGAATCAGAAGGTTTGGGATGGAGTCAAAGAGCTTGCAAATTTCACTGGCATCCCAAATAATTCTAACATAGGTTGATTCAAGAGACACACTGAGAAATTCTATTTTTTTTTTCTTTACATCAGAGGGCTATTGTGAGAGCAGAGCAGATAGAACATCTGAGCATATTTTGAGTGCTTTTAAAGGAAACAAGAATGGCAATAAATACAAGGTTAGTGTGCAGCCCAGTTCTCTGCCCCAGGCACTACGGAGAGTGAAAACCTCTCCTCTGTGTGTCAGAAGGAAGCCCAGAATCTTCTCTCTGTATCCAGTAGTCTGCAAAGGGATTTCCTAAGCAACTCTTCTTTATCTGGGGCTCCAACCCACTAGAAGCAGGAGTGGTCTGATTATGAACAAGTTGCATGAGATGAAAGCATTGTTCTCAGCCGCGATGGAGGATGTCTTGATGCAAGAGAGCTGCAGGCTCGCCGGGCTCTGAAGGGGGCCTGGTGAGAAGTGGACTCACAGGAAGCTTGCAAGGCTCTGGGGGGAAGGGAAGCAGGTTCTCTGCAAAGCACTGAGGTCAGACATCCTGTTCTCGTTGTAAGCATTAGGTAATTAAACATTTCTAAGCCAAGAAGGAGAAAAAGCTCCAAGCCTGTTCATTTCACCCCTGCCCTAATGCCAATCGCTTTAAACGTGTTTTAATCGGCAAATATTTATAGAGTGCCTGTTATGTGCTGGGCCCCAGGCTGGGTGAGCAAGACACTGTTGCTCTCCTCTTAAGCAGTTTACACCCTCCTAAGGGATGTCAACAAGTGGTTGTCAATTGCAACGCAGTGTGAATGTGGAAAGGGCTAGAAAAAGAGTAAGCCACCCAACCTAACCCACAGTGGGGTGGCAGAGGGAGCAAGAAAGCCTCGCTAGCGGAGCTGACAGCCAATGGAAGACATAAAGTAGGAATAGAAATTAGCCAGGCTTTTTAGGCACATAGACCAAGTTTCATTTAGGGTTCAACTATTCCTTTAGTCAAATTACTCATCTTCCCTGGGCTGTCTTTAGACGACGTTGACAGGCTTTGTCAATAAGATCTTTGAAAGCACTACACAATACCTGGCCATGGTAGATTAATAATAATGATGATTCTATTTAATCAGACTTCACTGGGCCAGATTCTGTAATAACGTCCAATATATTATCTCATTTTACCTTTGCCACAATGGTAAGGTATAAGGCAACTTAACGTCATTTTACAGTGGAGGAGATTGAGGCTCAGGAATTTTAACAACTTACCCCAGTCACACACCTGTGTGACCTCAGAGTTTGTGTTCTTAACCACAGGGATAGAGTGCTCTTGGAAAGTAGCCTGGCACCAAGGAGGGGCTCAATGAATATTTACTTAGAATATACAGCTTTCAGTATGTAATAAATGTCAACGAACCAAAAAAATCATTATTACACAATAATGAATGTTTTTAGGAGAATAAAACAGCTCATTCAAAACAATCCCTTACAAATATACATAGCACTTTCCTGCTTTTAACATATATGGGTCATTTATTTCTCATAACCCCGATGGGAGATAACTAGAGTAGGTTTTATAATCCCACATTACAGATGTAAAAGAGATAGTATAGATATTACAGATAGTAGGTAGGCTATTCCTCATAGAAATGAGGAGATTAAGACAGATAGAAATAAATTTTAAATTGCCCAAGGTCGCAGAGAGACCAGAAAGCAAACTTTGGAATCCTACACCAGCGATTTTTCTACTGCTCATCTTCCACATATGGATTGATGGCTTTGGAGGGGGAAGAACTACAAATTTAAAACTATGGTCGACTGTCTTGAAAATGCAGGGCACTGGTCACAAGGCAGCTCAAGGGAAATCTATCACTCGAGATGCTTTCAGTTGCAACAGATAATTCATCTCAAAATTCTGGAACAGTAGAAGAAGTACTCTCCCTTCCTTAGTTCCGCAAATATCTGCTAAGTGTCTACTGTGTGCTAGGCATTCTAGGCATTGGAGATTCAGCAGTGGAGGAGTAGACAATAGATAAAAATAAATTAGTAGAATATAAAATATAAGGTTGTAAATGCCATAGAGGAAAATAAAG